TAGTTGTAGAATTTAAAATATATGTAATTTTATTATAAGATAACCAAAATCAAATTGGATTTTTTAATATAGCAATAATATTATTTTTTCAATTGTATCTTATTCCAAAGTGCAACATCATTTTGTCATTATTTAATGTGAATGGAAGAGATAAACTTGGATATGGCTGCGCTGCACTCGAGTCACGTGTGGACTGGATTGACGACTTCAACGCTACGTTCATATTGAATTCCAATGTACCAAAAGTGAATATACGAGGAATCAATCAATCCGTTAATGATAGTTATCATCAGCGCAGCCACAGTTATCCGTGACGTGTGTCCACTCTCAAATGGTTACTCTTTAACATTTCTTTATTTGCATATATATACCCTATAACATTGGAGCTTGGACTAATTATATGAAGAAGATAAGAACAATTTTTATTTTAGAATTTTATTTCTTGGCTTTGAATCTTCTCTTATTTTTCTGTCATTCCTTTTTTCTTCTGATTTGATGATTGACCACATAAAAACCATTCATTTAAAAGAGATTGTAAAAACAGATGTGTCTCACTCATTTTATTCTCTTACTTTTATTTTTTTTCTAAATCAATTAAGAGAAATTGAATATCTCTTTATTGCTTCTTCCAAACCAATTACACTTTTAAAACACAAAATAAGTGTAAACTACTGATTTCGAAGTAATAATGATGAAGAGTCTTAAAATTATTGTTTGAACAATTATAATTCAAGAGTAATAAAAAAGTTTGTTATAATATTAAATTTGTTAACAGCTCGAGTATAAAGATAAGTGTCATATATATTAAGGAAGAAATTTTGTTTCATCATAACTGTCATTGTTTTTTGGTTTAATATCTTTTTATTTTTATTTTTTTACACAAAGTTTGTTTTGGTCTAGACCATTTGGATCCTTTACATTTAATAAAAAATATTACATTAATCATTTTTATATTTAAATGTCAATAATAACAACTTTTGCTAGCGTGGCAAAAGATGTGTAACATAAAACTTTAGTTATTAATTTAGTGACACAAAAGTCGATCATTAAAATGTATTTTTTAATGTTAAGACCGCGAAGTCCTCCAAACTACAAATGCTCTGATTTTTCATTTTCTCAAATAAAGATATATAGGCATAAGACTGCGAAATTTTGGCGAGCCACCTTTTTTCTTTTTCCACCTTTTCCCTTATCTTTTTCTTTCAACCTTTGTTTCTCAACTCTTCTTCTTCCCCCTTAGAGCACTCTTAGAAAGCAAGATTTTGTAGTAACATCCTTACACATAAGACAGTCGAATGGTTCCCATCGAGTACGATGGGTGTGGGAGTGCTAATATCTTCCCTTCGCATAACCGGTTTTTGAACCCATAGTTTGGTTGCGAGACCATCTTATCCTTTCTTCATGGGTTTTTCTCGATGTTTTCCCTTCCCTTTTGGGATAATAAAAGTTCGATGGAGACTCTGTTTCTTTTTCATCTCACATCGTTATTTTTCAAGTAGCGACACCTTGTTCTTTAGTTTCTTGGTAAGGTACTTGTTTAGAATATAAAAACAAGTGGTGAGTGTTTCACCCCATAAGGATTTTGCCAAGTTCTTTTACTTTAACATGCATCTAGTCATATCTAATATGGTCGTGTTTTTTCTTTGTACTATTCCATTATTTTGAGGCGTGTAAGGAGTAGTTACCTCATGATCAATACCATGTTCTGTATAGAAATCCTCAAATATCTTGGATGTGTATTTGCCACCTCCATCTGTTCGCAAAACCTTGATCTTTTTTTCACTCTGGTTTTTTACAAGCATTTTGAATCTCTTAAAGAGTGAAAATATTTCATATTTGCGCCTGATCACATAGATCTGAAGCTTTCGACTATACTTAACGACAAATGAGACAAAACACCTGTTTCCACCAATGGTATGATCCTAAAATGGGCCACACATCTGAATGTACTACTTCTATTATGCAGGAGGATCTCATTAGCATAGTCGAAACGAAAGACTTTTTGGATTGGTTCCCTACTAAGCAACTTTCACATAGTTTGTCGGGAATCACAAGATTTGGTAATACCAATTACCATATATTGAGTAATCAGTTTATTGATTGACCTAAAATTCAAATGGCCAAACCTCAAATGCCACATCTAACTATGCTTGTGGTCGACAACTATTTTTATACATTGTACTTCAAACGAACTGATCATGGTCCTAAATGTCATATTCTTCGACAGATGAGATTTTAAGACCAAATTATTTTGGGTTTCAAACAATTTTAAGGCTCTATCTTTCATAACCACTAAGAAACCTTTTTTGACTACTTGTCCAACACTTAGCAGGTTGCACTTCATGCCAGGTACATATAGTACATCTTTGATCATAGCTTTTGCTCCATTACTTCGTTGAATAATTATGTTTTCCGTACCTTCTGCTTACAACGAGAAATTATTTGCAAGCCTGGTCTTACTCTTCTTTGACTCTTCAAAATCTTCCAACCACACTATTCGACCAGACATGTGGTTTGAGCATCCTGTGTCGAGGAATCAGGTTTTGGAGTCGACATTCTCATCTGTAACTGCAAACATAAGCATCATACATTCAGAATCATCTTAATATTGATGTGCAAGGTTTTTTCCTTCATCATCCTTACCTTTTATTGCTCTCTTGCCTTTCTTGTACCAATAATGTTAGGGTCGAGTAACCCCACTTTTTACAGTTATAGCACTGCACACTTTTCTTCTCATGTTTTTCTTTCTGATATGAAGTTTCTTCTCCTCTTTTCAAGGATTCAGAAACCCTACCATCAACCTTATGCTTTTGAGGATTCACCCAAGACTTCTTGCACTGAGTCTTGTCTCCTTTTCCTTTGAATTTGTTGGAACCATCATGCTTCATCTATGTTTGGGCATGTAGTGATTGTATTGAATCTTGAACCCTTTTCTTCTTTATAATCCTTAACTCATGTGCCTCCAACAAACAAATCAAATATTCTAGTTTCAAGGTTTCAAGATTATTGGATTCTTGAATGGCTAAGATAACATGATCAAAGTGAGAGGTCAATGTATCCATTACCTTCTCAACTATTATCTTATCAATTAAGATTACACCACAAGCATTCATGAGATAGACAAGATTATGCACTTTCAAGACATAGCATGCAATCTTTTCAGCTTTTCCCATCTACAATAACTCATATTGCGCAACTTTACTACTTTAACATTCTCACCTTCATAATACTTGACAAGAATATATCATGCCCCCTTCGCCGATTCAGCATCAAATATCAGATTGCCTTATGAGTAAGTTCAGGAACGTCATTAATCACCACTTCTAGGGTTTTATGAAAATCAAATAATGGTTGCATCTGTTTTCTCCATCGGATCCAATTTTTGATATCAAAAATTGGAAGAGAATTAAGAATATCATTGCTATCATTCATTTTTGCAGCAAACACGATTCGCTGTCCCTAGAAACACGACCATTGACGCGCAGCTCTTGAATTTTTTATCAAGAAGAATGAATCAAAAGCTCTAGATATCAATATGTTAAAGCGAAAGTATTTGGGTGAGTAAGGAATGAGAGAGAGAGAGAGAGAGAGAGAGAGAGAGAGAGAGAGAGAGAGAGAGAGAGAGAGAGAGAGAGAGAGAGAGAGAGAGAGAGAGAGAGAGAGAGAGAGATTATGTGTGTGCGCATGCGTGCGCATGCATGTGTGTGTGTGTGTGTGTGTGTGTGTGTGAGAGAGAGAGAGAGAGAGAGAGAGAGAGAGAGAGAGAGAGAGAGAGAGAGAGAGAGAAACTTCTAGATGTGTTGTAGACTAAAGTTCTCAGTACCTAAAATCTAATTCTTCACTTATTTTGATATCTGACTAAACAAAATTGTAATTGTTTATCATATCTCTTACAAAATATTCACAATTATTTTTTACACAACAAAAACTCTTGTTTTCATTACGGTAACCTAACATGCTTTGGTATAAATACGATTTTAAATAAGCATATTATTTAAATAGATTTTGCAGTATTAAACAAACTTTTTAACTCGTTGTTTTATTCATTTAAGTGGATACTTTACATCGGTTGCTTATGTCTTTTATAGGCTTAAATAATTTTTTGATCTTTTAAGTTGGTGTGCTTTTGTTTTTTCGTTTCTGTATCTTTATTTTGAATAAAATACTTAAATGATGAATTTCATTTGATTTTAACCTATTAATTTTTCTGCGGATTTTAACTTTAAAGACTAAAACCAAAAATATTTAAACATTCAAAGGTTATTTGCAACCAAAAAAAAAAATACAGGATAGAAAATTAAGACCACGTTAATTTATCGGAATAAAAAATTATTTAAGTCTCTCTTAAATTTTAAAAAAACAAAGATGAGGTGGACTCTATTTAAAACCTAAGTAAAAATCTTAATATCCAAGAAATTTAATAAATAAGAAAATACTAGTCAAACAAAATGATGCCTCAAATTTCATGTGATCCAATAAAAACATTTGCTTAATGACAAATTAGAACACATCATGTTTCTATAATCTTCTAGTATTCACTTGATTTAATTTCCAGCCAATACCAATACTTCCACATTTATTATAAAAAAAATAAGTTAGATATGTGATTTATAGGAGTCTACATATATCTAAACATTTTCTTTTGTTGCTTAAAAAAAGTTTGATCGTTATTTGATACACAAAGTATATTTGGCTTAGTAGTAGGCTGCAAACTTCCATAATTTAAGACACAAACCTGCTTTGATTGCAGGACACTGAAATTCTCAGCATTCTTAATTTGGCTAAATTGTTGAAAAATGAATATTGAGCATAAATAGAAGCAGAATCAATTAATCTAAATTGAGATTATCTATTGATAAAATTGAATTTCACATCATTGGTGGTAGCCATAAACAACTTGAGTTGATCAAGGCATGAAACAAACTCTTGCTTACATTACAAGTCAATAAAGAATACATCAAATGAAAAAGGGAATTGATAAAGAACTGTTAATGAATCAATTAATCAGCATTGCAAAGCTCAAGCAATTTCCTCATTGCATGCTTTTTCATTACCTTTCCATATACTTCTCTTGTTAACCTGAAAACTTTCTCCATCTCCAAATTTCCATCACCACTACTACCACTAGCTTTTTTCTTCAACTCCTCATTCATAATCTTAAGCACCCTGTGATCACTTCCCACTGCATCTGTGATGCTATCGACCACCGCATCCAATATCGGAATTCTCCTTCCCCATTTCTTCATACACTTGTCGGAGCCATACGTCTCTGAATACAACGACCAAAACGAAGCCCTCATGTATCCCTTCTCTTTCCCTCTTATCTTCCATCTCTTCATTTGTTCCTCGAGTTTATACACCAAACTACCAACATCCATCCCTTTTTCAATACCGATCTCAATCTCCTTCAACTCTTTCTTGCAGTACAAGATATCCACCTCAAACTTACACCTCTTGCACCTGCATTGAATCCCCCATGTCACAGACATATCTCTTCTCTTGTTCAAGGGGCAAAGTGGATCATAATAAGCAAAAGTTAGCTCTTCACCCGCTTTCAAATCTCTCGAAGCATGAACTATTAAATAATCCCCGACATGCAAACGCCTCACATTAGGAGTACATGAGTGATTGATGAACGAAGGAAGCAACCATAGCCCAACACCATAACAGTCATTGTTCTTCCTCAAAACATTGGCCGAAACCGCCTCCTCAGTAAGAGAATTCACATCCAATATAGCCAATAACTTAACCATATCAATTTCCTCGCATGAATTCACTTCACAAACACTCTCAGGCCTAAAGAGATCTACATCAGGCACATCAAGTTCATCCTCCTTTCCCCCAATTGACAATTTCTCAATCAAATCCCTAGTTTTATGACATTTCCTAACCAATTCTATAACTTTATCAACGAAATTCGTCCACATAACTAATTGTGTATCTTCACTCAAATCTTTACCTGCCAATATACTCCTCTCCATCACAATCGCCTTCGTAATCAAGATCAAAGACCCTGCATCAACATCCTTAGTAACGAAAATCCCCCGCCCACTAATTTCAGATTTCCTAATCTGAACATCACCAATATATTCAGCAAGCTCAGGAGCCTTACCCAGAAACCCATTCGAAACCCAATCAGAAAGATCAAGAAACCCAGTTCTTGATAAAAATTCAAACTTTCTACATTTTTCCCAAAACCCAAGAAAATCAACATTCCCATTCGCTTGAGGATCAATCAGAGCCATTCTGAAGCAATGAAGAGCCATGGAGTACCTACTAAGCGAAAGCAAAATCTTACCTTTGCAAAATAGGGTTTTGAAATGGGAACCATCAACTTGCAAAGCGTGATCACAATCTTGCAAAGCAGAGTTGAATTCGCGCAATCTTGACTTCGCTTCTGCTCGGTTGCATAGGGCTATGCAGAGAGATTTGCGAAGCTTGAGTGAGCTGAAGTGGGGTTGAGGAAGAGAGAGATGGTGGGTGCAGAGGGTGATGAATTGGGAATATGCTTCGATTGATTGGTTCCATTCTTCTCTAATGAAAAGCTCTGTTGCTCTGGATCGGAGATTTTGCACGTGCTCTTCTTCTGGTGTTGTTGCCATTTTCTAGTTTTTTTGTGTTCAATTTTTGAAGTGTTGTGGTAACGCTTTTGAAAGTGTGGCTTTAGATTCAAAAGTTTTTTAGTGTAACGGTCATTTGTTGAAAATTTTATGTGTAATTTAAGTATATAGTTTTCTGTTACTGTTTTAGGGTCGTTGATAGTTTAAATGGAGATACACATCAGCGATTCTGTGGATTTGGATGGAATCATTCAATCATGAATGTTAGTAGCAATTTATGGTGTTATTTTTCAATGTTTATTCACTAAAAGAAATTAGGTCATTTTAAAAAAATAAATAAAACATTTCAAACATTAAAAGAGACATTCTTTAGATTCAGTCTTCCAGACTACTAAGACACTTGTGTTATCAATGATGTAATTTACTATGTTGGTATTTTTATTTGTGTCTCTAAAACAATTGGAGTTTCTATACTTTTAACTTTCATACACAAATTTAGGGAAAGCACATTTTAGAATTTGAGTCCTTCATCATTTTTCTTTGCAACTCTTTATTATTCACCGAAGATCTACACTTCATCTATTTGATTTATGCTAAGATAGGTAAACATTAAATGTTTCGGAGTTTCTTTATTAAATGTTTCAGAGTTTCTTTATGGTCATAGAAACAACATTTATCTTCACTAATCAAGTCAAATACGCGTAGTCTTTCCTTTGTGACCATTTTGTCATGACGAGTTAGCCACAACACGAAGGTTGCTCTTGGTCTAGCCAAGTTATTACAAATCAGTTTCTTTGATTGGACAAGTGGTTGAGGTTCTTTTGATTTGAAGTACATTTTCCTCGTGTAGAATTTGCGCCCTTGTTGCAAGGTTTGTCAAATCTGCTATTGTTAGAGAAATTGTCTTTAGTTCAAGATTGCTTTTAAAATCCAGGAACAGGTGCCTTTGATTGGAACAGACAATAGCTCATCCACTTTGATGTGGTAACAATGCACCCACTTAATCCACAAGCTATCTACTTTTCCAGTGAGATTCCATAAGAGTTTTATGGGATTTTCTTTGTTCCAGTCTTGTATAGATATGATGTTCAAGCCTCCCTGTGCTTTTGTAGTGCACACTTTTTGCCATGATACATGAGATTTTCTTGTTATTTCCTCTCTACCACTCCACAAGATTTGCACACATCTTCAATCTTTTGAGTAACCTTGTTTGGTAGAGGAAAGCAAAGCATCCAATAATTTGTTATTGCAAAAGGCCCACTTTTTATAAGCTATATTCTCCCTGCAAAACTAAGTAACCTAACACTCCAATGTTTGACCCTTACCATAACTTTCTCAACTAGGATCACGCAGCGATGCATAGACAATTTCTTACTAGTTAAAGGCACTCCAAGATATGTGAATGGGAGAGGGCCTTCATTGAACTTTGTCATCTCTTGGATCTCTGTTTTGTCTTATCATCTATATTGCCATAATACACTTTGTATTTTTCAGAATTTACTTTCAGCCCAGTTGATTTGAAGAACTCCTCAAAAGCTTCCATGACTGGTTGTATATACCTCTTGTCACCTCTAGAAAAGAACATCAAATCATCTTCAAAACTTAGATTGATGATGCTTAATTTTTCACACTTTGAATGAAAGTCGAAATCAGATATTTGTTTTAGTTTTTGTAGAATCCTGTGCAGATATTCCATAACTATTACAAAAAGTAGTATGGGTAGGGGATCTCCCTACCTCAAGCCCCTCTGAGCCTTCAGAAACCTAGTGTGTTCTCCATTAACCCTGGATTTGTAGGAGATTATGGTGACATTTAACATTATCCAATTGATAAACCTTCTAGTGAAACTGAATTTAATTATAATAGTAATTTTCAAAATAAAATTATAATTATAATAATGTATAGATTTTAATGATGCTAATTAGTCTTTAATAATTTTTAAGAATTGCAAATTGATTCTTATTTTTCAACTTTTTTTATTTGGACCCAAAACTTTTAAATTTTATAAAATTGACTCAAAAGTTTAACAATGAATGATTTTAAAATTATGTCCAAAAAAAATTAAAATGAATGAATTTCAATTGAATCATTTAAATTGCTTAGAATTTTAAATTTCTTTAAAACTCTCAATTACCTCATCCAAACACACTCTTAAAGAGTTATTTTCTTGTAACTCATTTGTATCTCTTATTGAAGACTCTTTATTAGTAGTGGATCAGAGAGTATTTTATCCCCTAGAGGAGATGTTTTTTGATCTAATTGAGTAAAAAAAATAGGTGAGTTGTTTCTTTATCATATTCTTGTTATTGTGGTTTTGCTTTCACATTAGCTAGTAGATTAATTTTAATTGAGATCGTTTAGTGCAGTTTCTTTGTTCTTTGTCTCATACATCGTATATATTTTATGTGTTTCATCTTCAACTTTTCATAGAAAGTGGAGTCCCTCATGAGATAAAGGGTCTAAGTTTACAAGTGAGCATTATGAGTTTTAAATAAGATATCGAGAAGTTTTTCAAAGACAATGATTTTAGATTGAAGAAAGTAAAACTACAAGTAATCATGATTCAACAAAATTGCATAGAAGTGTTAAAAGGTGAGGCTTTAATGCCAGTAAACTTGACATGGAAGAAGACCGAGACGGCGGATAAATTCAAGAGTATCATTATCTTGTGCCTCAAAGATATAAAAACATTTAAGAAAGTCACAAGGGAGAAGACCTCATACGAAATGAGGGGTTAAGCGTGGATCATTGTACATGACTAAGTTTTTGGCTCATAGATTATGTCTGAAACAAAAACTCTACTCATTTCGGATGGTGGATGACAAACTCTTTGCATATGAATTGACGGAATTTCACAAAATTAATGATGACTCGCTAAATATTAAGGTGAAACTTGAAAATTGGGAGAAGCAACTACATTTGTTGAGCTCTTTACCTAGATATTTTGAGCATTTAAAGAATATACTTTTATGGTAAGGAAGGCAATATCACCTTGAATGAGGTCTAGTCGCTATAAGAACTATGAAGTTAGTCAAGATTAAAGAGTTGAAGGTATATTATATTATAAAAGACTTGAGTGTTTTAATAGGAGGAGTAAAAATAGGGAAAAACCAGAATATGGGAAATATAAGTCTAAGTCCAAGTACATGGGGTTTGACTAGTCAAAGTACAAGTACTTCATTTGTCATAAAAATGGTGACTAAGAATGATTTTATGATAGGGGAGAGTAGGTGATTTTGTTCAGATTCTCATTGCCTCAAATGAGGATTGTTATGAGAGTTTTAGTTCTATAGTGGTAACAAATTTGGAGAGTGAAAAAGAATTGGATCTTGATTTCTAAATGCTCTTACCACATGTGTTCAAGGAAGGAATGTTTTAAGAATTTGACTCTAAAATAAGTTGGATTCATCATAGTCACTAATAATAAGGCTTGCAAGGTTCATGGTAATTGGGAAATTTAGCTCAAGATGTATGACAATTGTGGGTTCTTTTTATGCAACATGGAGTATGTTCTCAAACATAAGCAGGGTTTTTTGTATAGAAACGTGTTTCATGAGTTAGCCTATTGCATTAGAATTGAACATGACATGTTGAAACTTTCAAATGGTGCATTGATGATTTCTTATAGGTATAAAATGTTTTGTTTGAATATTTTGGATGGTTCCACTGCTTTTGATAATGCATCATTGATCTGCTATCGCGCACGGGTCAAAAACGAGTTTAAAAAAGTAGTAACGTGAAGCGACACTAGGATGTCGTATTACAAGGACTCTTGGCAAAATTAACCAACTAAATAAACGATTTAAGGGGGTTCGGTTTCGGTTTCCTAAAAGTGATTAAAATAATTGGTTAAAATAAGTGATAATTAAATAAGCTAATATGTTGTTCGTTCTCCAACTTATCATTGATCACATAATTACCAAGCCCTAAGCGGATTCCATTCCCTTTCGATTGCATTAACAATAACAAGCATGGTTGAAACTAATATGATTTATGTTCCTAAATCTGAATTAAGAAAACAGATAATGCAAACACGAATTAAGCAAACGCGGTTACGATTAACAGAATATACATCAAACAAATTAAATCATTTCTATTCTATAAAATATGCAATTGAATTAAGCAAACAACGGCAACTGAATAAAGCAGTCAGAACTATAGAAAGAATTGAAAAGGGAATTGAAATTACTTGAAAATTATATTAATCTCAAAGTTAACGGAGATACGGTTACAGCATATCAATCCTTTGAAATTAGTTCTCCATATGAAAATCGTACAAAGCAACAACAAAAATTGTAAACAGTGCAAAAGATATGTCGTGAACAGTAACACGGCTGCTAGGTATAGGGAGAAGCAAAGCATTCAGGTTCTAACCCAACTGGGTCGAAAAACATAAAAAAACTCAACCCAAAATTAAATATTTCTTAAGGTATGAAACTTCAATGAATTATTTAACACTGCTTCACACCGAATCAACTTTTGGCTTCAATGCAACACTTGTAGATCTTTCTCTTAGCTTTCCAACGCCTATCAGAATGCATCAATCTAATTCTCGTAGCTCAAATTATGGTCTGCACAGTGGACATGTATCAAATAACTGTTAATGCTGAAAATAAAATACGAATTTAAATTAAAGAAAAAAATAAACTTAATTTTAAAAACACAATAAAATAGTAAAATTAATAAAACAAACTAGAAAATGCCTAAGCACAATAATAGAAGAATATACATCAAAATGCACTAATCAATCATTAATGAGTCAAGACTTTCATGATAAAATCAAAATATGACCTTTAAAGCCATTGTGTGGTTTGTACGTTTTGGATTGTTCCATTGCTATTGGTAATGCATGACTAGCTAGTCAATACTTTTATGATAAAATCAAGCTATTGAATTTGAGATTAGGCATGTTATTAAAAATGGTTTGGTTGAACTAGCTACGCAAGGTTTGCTAGGTTGTAAGAAATTTATTTAAAAAATTATAATGTTTTAACCATTGCATATTAGGAATACAACATAGAGTAAAGTTTTGGAGTGGTGTG